CTGGTTTGAATCCATATTTACTGTCAAATTGGCTGTACTCATGACTACTGAAATGTGGACCATTGTCACTGACGCATGCACGAGGAATTCCTGCTCTGGCAAAGTTCCTTTTCATAGCATTGATGACTGCCGTTGCTGACGTATTCTTTAGCCAATCAATTTCTATGAAATCCCTGTAATGATCAACAGTTACCAAGTACGTTTTACCATCCAATTGAAATAGATCAACACTTATTCGTTCCCATGGAAGTGTGGGAATCTCCTGAGATTTCATCGGTTCGGTTGGTCGTTCTGATTTATACTGTGCACACAGACCACATGACAAGCAGGTTTGGCGCATTGCCGCTGACATACCTGGCCAGAATAGTGTTTCTCGGGCTCTCCTCATACTGCTGTCTGCACCTTGATGAGCTTTGTGAATCTTGTTTAACATCTCTTGTCTCATTGATGGCGGGATGATTACTTGATGAGACTTCAATAGCACACCATTGTCAATAGAAATCTCGTCTCCGAAAGACCAATATGGCCGAAGGTCTGCAGGTAGCGATGATCTATCTAACGGCCATCCTATTAGTACTGTTTCATAAAGTGATTTCAATGTTGCGTCGCTTGATACTTCTTCTTTTAGTCGCTCCAAGGTGACATTAGACAAGTTAGGTGGTTTAAGGTCCATCGATGATAATTCCATGCGAAACACTTCTTCTTAACTTGTCCTCATTGCCGTGGGATTGGCTAAAGCTGCTCGAGACAAAGTATCGGCTATATACATCTCCTTCCCTTTTTTGTACTGGACCGAGAAATGGTACTGTTGCAACTTGAGCATAATGCGCTGAAGTCGTCTAGGTGCTTTACTTAACGGTTTTCGGAAGATTGTTTCCAGTGGCTGATGATCTGTGTGAACGAGGATGTTTTTCTTCCCGTAGAGGTATTGGTGCCATTTGCTCATACAAGTATAACGATGGCCCAGACACTCCTTCTCAATCTGCGCGTAGTTTCTTTCAGTTGAATCAAGAGTATGCGACGTAAAACACACTGGCTTCCCGTTCTGAAGTAAAACCCCACCAATTGCTTCATCTGAAGCATCTACTTGCAAGGTTACAGGTAGCGTGACATCGTAGTACTGCAGAATAGTGCTGGATGCAATGAAATCTTTCGCCGAGTTGAAAGCGCTTTCGTGAACATCTGTCCATATGAATTCTACGTTTATTCTAGTTAGATCTCGCAATGGTAAGACAATCTTACCCAGTTTTGGGCAAAACTTCGATAGGTATTGGTACATTCCCAACAAACGTTGAACTCCATTTCTGTCGACAGGCTTTGGCATCTCTTGTATAGCAATCACTTTGGATGGGTCAGGGGCAACGCCTTTGTCGGTGAGGATGTGTCCCATGAAAGAGTGGATTTGAATTGGATTTCCTTGGCTGATAATCGCAGGTCATGTTCGCTACATCGGTACAGTAATGCAATTAAGTTCTTATCGTGATCTTTACTTGCTTGTTCGTCTGTATCTCCACATCCAAAAATGCAAATGTTATCAGCGATGTTTATGACACCCTCCAAGCCATCCAGAAATTCTCGCTGTCTTCGTTGGTATTCTTCCGGACCAGATGAGATTCCAAATGGCATGCGCAGATATCTATAGCGTCCATTTGGGCCCTGGAATGTTGTAAGTAAAGAGGAGAGGTCATCTAAAACTACGTTGTGGAACGCCTCCGACACGTCAACAATTGTAAACACTTTCGCTTTAGTAAGAAATGGAAGCTTTTCTTCGATTGTTGGAATAGTGTAAATTGGACGCTTTATTGCTTTATTTATTGTCTGACTTGGATCAATGCATATTCGGAGTTTCCATTAGGCTTTTCTTTTATCAACATGTTCGATAACCAGTTCGTTGGTTGTGTGACTGGAACTATAACACGTTCTTCGCAGAGCTTCTCCAATGTTTCATTAACTCTCTGTACCTTTGCAACGGGAATACGTCGTCGAGGAGCATGTACTGGTCGAATGTCGGGATCCATCTCGATATGCATGGGTGCACCCAACGGATTTCCTCTTCCTGGTTGGAATACTTTATCACAATGCTCTAGAACAAATTCTTTTGTTAACTCCCCCAATTGTGGAATTTTGCTGGACTTGTGAAGGGCTTGGGCTCTTTGACGCACACTTTCTTGACCCTGGATGTTGCTTGCTGGGCTTTGGGCATTGCACTCTGAATTCTGATGATTGAGCTGTTCATTCTGGATTTTCTGATTATGCACATTTGAATTCTTGTCCGTTTTTACTTCATTCACGGAATGAATCTCATCTGCATGAATATCCAAATATCCCAGGATCTCTGCGTCTCGACCACTCAACAATGGCGGCTTTCCACGAGGTACGTCGACTACCAGGAAATCAAGTAGATGCAATTTTCCTTTCCTTTCGCAGCAGAAAGTCACTTTGCCCTTTGGTTGTATCCGTTGATCTCCATACGTCTGGATCGCAGCTTTGGTTTTCTCAATTTTAATGTTCGGGAAACGTTGATGTACAATGTTCACAGGGATAGTATTACACGTTGACGCTGAATCGATTTGTGCTTTGACAACCTTTGATCGATTGGTTTCGACAACGGTTAGATGTGCGAAGAATTTTCGTCCATTTGCATTTTCTTGTTTGTTCATATCGTGATCTGTCATGAACAATTCTTCATTTACATAATTATCTTCGACTTCAACTTGATTTGCATATTGTTGTTGTTGCCGTTGCATGTATGGTTTTCGACTCTCGACGCTTCCAGGGACGTTTCCAGCGTTTGTACAAGCTCTGGCAAAATGTCCGAGTGTGCCACATTTGTTGCATCTTTTCGAATACGCTGGACAGAATCTCTGACGGGGTTGCTTATGTTGGCCACTACACCAAAAACACGGGTCACGGTTCGATTGCTTTTGTTTCGTATTATTGTTATAATTGACTTGTTCATACACTTGTGTTTCTCTGGCCGTTTTCATGAGTTGATTTGTCACGGTCGTTGCTTCAAATGTTTTAGCAACTTCGACAACTTCTCGCAGGGTAACCTTTGCTCGTTCACCGTCCTTATGTGACCTTTGCCGATGAGCTTAACACGGAGTTGTTCTGATGCTAAGCCTGATATGAACTGGTCTCGCGTCTTCAAAACTCTCGTATTCGCACTGAGCACTCTGATTTCGTATACGGGACTCCCATGAACTTATCGATTCAGCGTCTTGTTGCAGTAAGCGAACAAATTTTTGCCATTCCCCCGAGACTCCAATACTTGCGCCGTAATATTCTCGCAATGCTTGAAGTACTGAATGAGGCTTCTTTTGCTCTGCTTCGCTAAGACCTAAGCTGTATTTGTATACAGTTCTTGCTGATGGTGTAAGACACGCTCGAAGGCAAGCTATTGCTTTGTCAGTTTTGATCCATCTTTCTTCTTCGGTTGACTTTGACGGGTCATACCAATTATTTAGCGTACAGTAATCTTTTAAATCTTCTTCAAAGATCTCCATGTCGCGCTTGTCGTCTCCTGTACTTTTGAATATTGGAAATGGCAAGTTCGTAGCCATTATTTAATGTTAAGTTGCTCTTTGTACCGAGATGTTAGACGTGTATATTTTGTCTAAAACCCACTAGCTGCCACCATGTTAATATTGCTTTATTATTCTCTAGAACCTAAGTTACATACATAATAAGAACCTACTGTATTTATACTGTTTACATGCATGATTAGCATAAATGTTAATATAACCTATCAACAGTTTCATTTTCCCCCGTAATGTTTTCCTACATTTCTCCACATTTTAGCTATCATTCTTAATTTTTAATCGTGTCACTCAATTTTCTCATTTTCTTCCTCTCCAACTCCATATTTTGCAGACAGGAATTCAATATTTTGCCGACTACCTGATGACTGGGCAGCGGTGGGGGGGTATTCCACGTCCCCTTTAGAGCCGGCCATGTACACAACTCATCCAGAATAGCCATTCAATGGCTGTAGAACAATAGAAAATAATATTATTGAAATTTATTTAATCAATTCCTTATTTAGTTATTATATTTATATCAGTCAGTTGACAATTTCCACGACGTGGGATCTAAAAATCAAAATATATACAGGATAAAGTAAAAAAGGAAAGTCATTTACAAATAGAAAGAACGTTGTTTACAAGCAATTAATGATAAAATTAAATAATTGACAATTTGTGACCCATAGGCCATGGCCATGTAATACGTCATATTCCCAAAAATATCTTCTGTCAATGCATTAATATACATGAATTAATCACTCGATTTGGATTGGCGAATGAGGTTCGCAATTTTATCGAAATTTAGTACCAAAGAAAGAAATACATTTTGATATAAGTTTTGACTTCTGGCAGTCAAAAACGTTCGAAATTTAGTGCCAAAGAAAAAAATACATTTTGATATACGTTTTGACTTCTGCCAGTCAAAAACTTGTTTCGACAATGTTTAAATTGGTCTTATTGAACATTTTTATACACTAAAATACACTATTTCTGCATGAGTTTGTACCACGCGGCAGTACATACATAAGCTACAAAATTCAACGAAATTGAAACTATATATATATATAAAAATATATATATATATATATATATATATATATATATATATATATATATATATATATATATATATATATATATATATATATATACAGGGTGTATCAAAATAAACGCAATCCTTCTTTTGTGCTTAATAACTTTCGAAATACTATTTCTAGTGAAACGCTTTTAGGCTTACTTCAAAGCCTGTTCTTTTCTCTTTCAAACAAACTATTATGTCTCCAATGCTAGTAATAATTGCACAGGAAAAGATTTAGTAAAACCTATCATTTTTAGTTGCTGTTTAATTATGCAAGTTTACTATGTTATTGTTTAGTCGGTTTAAATGTTAGAATTTTCTTCTTTAAACTTTAATGTTGTCGCCACTATACATCTGGAAAACCACGTAAGAACAAATTTAAAGTATTTTAAAAGAGACCAGGTTGTTTGAAAATTCTAAACGAATGCTAAAAAATCGTCAAAACATTCTGGTGTCTGAGCCAGAGTGTCATCGAATTGCGATGTAATGTAAACAGAAATTATAGCAAGTTGATATCAGTCAGCTTAGATGGTCCAAGCCAAAATTATATCGCATTTGAAGTTTCAAACTGAGTTACAAATAGTGGAAGAAAAGCCGTAATTATACTTATTGTTACAATCCATTTAATAAAATGCAACATTTTTTGTTTTAATGAAAAAATCAGTTATTTTAATGAGAACGATTTGTTATTCCATCTCAACTTTTTTAATCTCCAATCGCAATAACGTAAAGTATTATTACCCGCGAACCAATGAGTCAAATTTAAGAAACAACCCACTGTCAGAAAGCTGAATGGCTACGCTTTAAAATGAATGTAAACTTTAACGTTTTCGTCTATTATTTGTTTAGCAATTTACATTTCAGTCGAGGATTGCGCTTTTTTGGATACACCCTGTATATATATATATATATATATATTATATATATATATATATATATATATATATATATATATATATATATATATATATATATACATGTATACATGTATACATGTATACATATATATATATATATATATATACATATATACATATATACATATATATACATATATATATACATATATATACATATATAATATGTACATATATATACATATA